TCTAACTTTAGATTCTCCTATATTAGCAGATGACAAAACGAGCAAGCAAGAGCTTCCTTTTTTAAAAGTATAATTAAAAGGCTCAAAGCTCAAAATGATACTGCTGTAGCTTTGAAGGCCTGAAGTTTGGGGCTGGACCAAAGAATGAGGTAAGTCTTGCCGAAGCCGGTTTGGCTCAGTGGTAGAGCGTGGGTCTGTGGACTGAGAGGTCCCGGGTTCGATTCCGGTCAAGGGCATGTACATTGGTTGCAGGCGCATCCCCGGTGGGGGGTGTGCAGGAGGCGGCTGGTGGATGTTTCTCATCGACGTTTCTAGCTCTCTATCTCTCTCCCTTCCTTTCTGTAAAAAAAATCAATAAAACATATTAAAAAAAAAAAAAAAAAAGAATGAGGTAAGTCTAGGAAAGTCAGCTGTGGTTCTGTTGGTTGGAAAGACGTGTCTCCATATAATTGAGGGGGAGGAAAAACCATATTCAAACTATTCGTAAGTTTGATATGAATGATGCCTCTAACCACGTAAAGGAGTGTGTGTAGAAGAGGGGAGGGGCGGGGGTGTCAAAACTCGGTGCGATACTTTTCAACCCAGTCTGTTTTTTAAAGCTCTGGTTTCTAAGGAAGTCAGTTATACTCGGAGGCAGAGAGTGGCGAGCAGATGACGAAGGATGCCTAGCATTGCAAACACACGAATGTATTGTATAAGCTGTGGAAGTGACTGTGCAAACAAACAGAATTTTCAAGTTCCACCCGTTGCTAACCACTAGGTGTGTGAGTTGCCCAAACTCCCCCCCTACCCTGAGCACCGGCACAGAGACGGCTCCGCTGATGTGTTAAGCGCAGGCGGACAGGGCTGGGGGAGAGGGAGGAGAGAAGGGGGAAGGGCAGAGAGATGCACAGATGACCCAACCAAGAGGATCGGGTGCAGAACTCCTTCACAAGGCTCCTCCAAGTTCTTTCCTCGGTGCCGCTGTTGGATATTTTTTTCCCCGTTGCTCTTCAGAGAGAGTAGGAGAGAGGGACACACACACACACACACACACACACACACACACGGACTGGTTGCCTCCCACTTGCTCCCTGACCAGGGGCAGGGAGCAAAACCGCAGGCTGAAGCTCTAACCACTGAACCACCCGTGGGGCTCTCGGTGCCTTTTTAATCATTAACTTCCTCCGTGCTCTGGAATAAAGCTGACTGGCCTGTTCCTCTCCAAAAGCCAGTGGCTGCCCCACTGCGGGCCCTAGCATGCAGAGCTGGGGGGGTGGAGGCCAGCGGGCCAGAGTCTGTGGCTCAACTGGGCTACCCCGGCCGGCCTGCCTTTTGGACTCAGAGCAGACCCTGCAATGTCATCCCTGCTTCCTCTTAGCGGCTTTGCAGCATCTCCAGGCCATGGTCCATCTGCAAAGCCGCCCATGAAGTTCAAGAAGGGCCGTGGGTGATGGCTTCTGTCAAAATGCCGCAACCCTACAGAAGGCAGCTGCTGCCTCTTCGTCACCCACTACGTGCAGATGCACAAACCCTCCTGGCTGCTTCTCCCCTTGCCAATCCCCTGGACCCTCCCTTCGGCATCTTAGGTGTACGGTGGTTCCCCCAGACCAGTGGCCGGCAAACTCGTTAGTCCACGGAGCCAAATGTCAACGGTACAACGATTGACATTTCTTTTGAGAGCCACATTTTTTTAAACTTAAACTTCTTCTAACGCCACTTCTTCCGTGGTATGTTGTGGAAGAGCCACACTCAAGGGGCCAAAGAGCCGCATGTGGCTCACGAGCCAGAGTTGGACAACCACGGCCCCGGACCAATGCTACACAAGCCATCACTTCCAAAGGGGCCACAGGCCTCATCCAGTGCTCTCCCACCTTGCTGAGCTCAACACTCAGCTGGCCTTTCAAAGCCTTCTAGGAACCAGGAGGGTGGGCCCAGCAAACCTTATTTCAGGTTACTGCGGGGCCATTTCCCCACTCAGTGACTTTTCCCCTAAAGGTAACCCTGACACCGGAATGTGGACACAGTCCTAACCCCCCAGCCAAGATCCTGGTTCCAGGGCTGAAGTCTTCCCCTCTGAGTGTGTAGGACCGTTTGCCTGCCCACCTCCAGATTGCAGAGTCAGTCTCAGTCCCTCCCTCCTCCCTCCCTCCCTCCCTCCCTCACCCACAGCTGCAGGCATTAATTAAACCTCTTCTAGAAAACAGCTTTTCACCAGCCTCAGGAATCCTGGGTAAGAGCCAGACCTGGAGACAGACACCGTCTGGGTAAGAGAGATAAGCCCACCACAGCGTGAGCCTGTGGGCAGTGCAGGTTCCGCATTCAGGGGGCTGTTCTGAATTCCAGCTCCCCCGGGTCCTCTGAAAAAGGGGGCCCCGCCCCCTCAGCCTCCGGCTGTGTTCTCCAGAGGGGACCCTGTTCAGGGGCAGAAGCGCTGCACTTGGCTCCATCAGCCAGTGGTCACAGTCCCCTCTGACAGGAGCACCATGCAAAGCCACCTGCCTCCTCCCCCCCAACAGAGGTGCCAACCACACTGCCAGGCCTGTGCAAGAAGGGGCACTCCCGGCTCTGCGTGGGGAGTGTTATTTGGGGCAGGCAGTGCCCACCGGAGTGAAGATGGTGCAATCAGAAGCAGCCCATAGGCTCCACAAGCACAGCGCATTTCCCCAAGGGCTCCCTCCATCAGGGGCAGGGATGAGGGATGCAGAAGGGGGCTGGGGCCACAGCTCACGACGGCCCTGTTGGTTACGCTGTGGGGGACTCACCTCTCAGCCAACAGCCTTAGCTCCCCAACGGCCCCAATTCTGTGATAAGGACAACTATAAATTTCCTATAAGTCCCCATTCAGGTGAGAGACCCAGCAGGCAGAGCCTAACCCCTACACTGAGCTCTCTGCCCCAAACACACACAGAAATGAGTGTGTCTGTAGTAAGACAAATAAGTGGTGTGTGTGTGTGTGTGTGTGTGTGTGTGTGTGTTTGATTAATGTAAGGATAACCTTTTGAAAATAGTGCAGCACAATAAAAATATGGGTTATGATCTCAGACTGGATTTAAGAGGGTGACCCCTTTTTCCTAGACAAACACTGAGTACCAGTATTTAGAGGGTGCCAGAGGCTGAGTGCAGGGGCCCACCCAGCTTCACCCCGTCTCTGGCCAGTGGGGCATCCAAGAGTCAACACCTTACCGTGGTGAGGGCTGGGGAGATGCCCACCGGAATGTGTGGACACTCCAAGGGAGTCTTCTGTGTCCCATTGTGATCTGGGGCTAATTAACTTTATTCATTCACCATTCAGGGGTGAATGGATATTGCGCTAATTACTATGCAAGCCGATCAATAAAAATAAAACATAGCTGCTGATCCTGCCGTTTCACGGATGCTCCAGAGGCAGGTGGGCCAGCCTGTCCCCGGTGCCCCACGGCAGCCTCCCACGCGTCCGTGAGGGTGGGCTGGCCAGGAGCCAGTCCCTAACGGAGACGTGCCCCCTGCGTGCCATTTCTCTGCAATAGGCAATTAATTCAATCCGGGGCCTAATGAAAGCCAAGGGCGGGGAGGGGAGAGACGCAGGCGCTGGCTTTCGGGCTGCAGCCCTGCATCTGCACCTCCCTCCACAGGGAGCACGAGGCTCGTCAAACCTCTGCTTTAAACTCTCCCCACAGAAGTCAGGCTGGGCACCCACACCTGAGCGGGAGGAGTTGTGGCCAAGCCCCGTCTGCGGTGACGTCACGTTGGTAAAGCCTGGCTTGGGCACGATCAGCTCCACAGACTGGGGTTCATCCGAGGGCATTGTGGAAAAAAAAAATGTCCTCAGGACAAGAAGCCCTCTGAGGCCCCCCCTCCTTGCCCCCGGGGGCCATTCGCCTCACACCCCCTGCCCCCCTCGCACCACAGATCTGCTGCCACCTCTCTCCTGGTTTTCACTTTCGGGATGCTCACAAAGCGTCCCTGCTTTCCTACGAAGGCACAGGGCACGCAGGCGGCATAGCCTCCTCGCTCCTTGGGAAAGCGGGAAAATATGGCTCCCGAGCCGCTTCCACCGCTCATCCCCTGACCCCCCGCAGGTACAACCTGAAAGGCCGCCGCAGCCACAGAGAGAGCCACCTGCTCCCGGCAGATGCAGCTTAATGTGTGTGTGTGTGTGTGTGTGTGAGAGAGAGAGAGAGAGAGAGAGAGAGAGAGAGACAAAACCGGCTTCTTTAAAAAGATCACGACACAGCCGAGTTCACCCGTAAAAGCAAAGAAGCTACGCAGCCCCAACCTGAGCTCCCGGAGGGCGCATCGGCCCGCGCGCCCCGAGGGGCCGAGTGACCCCGCCGGGGGCGCAGGGAGGAGAAGGTGAAAGAGAAGAGCCGCCCCCAGGAAGGCCGCCCCCGGGAAGGCCGCCCCCAGAGAGGCCGCGGAGAAGTTGCCGCCGCCTTCCCATCTGCAGCCAAGCGGGTCGGGCACTCGCTGCCCGGGCAGGGGGGCCGGGGAGCTGGAGTTCGGGCTGGAATCCGGGGGCAGGAGCGCGGGGGCCGGGCGGGAGAGGGGCGGAGGGGCGGGGATCCGGGTGGAGGGGCGAGGGACCGGCCCAGGAGAAGTGGGAGGTGGTGTTGCGGGGGGGGGGGGAGGAGGGGGCGAGGCGCCGGCCAGGAGGTGGGAGAGAGCTTGGGGAGGGGGCGGCGGGGTCGCAGGCAGCGTCCGGGCGCGCCGGGGCTTGGAGAGGGGGCGGGGGCGGACTAGGGGCGCGCGGGGGAGGCTGGAGGAAGGGGGTGGCACAGGGAGGGGAGGGGGAGCGAGAGCGAGTTAAGGCTGTGGGTTTGGGGGGGACGCGGGGAGGCAGGGGGAGGCAGCTTAGTTGCGGGTTCAGACCCGCCAGACTGGCTCTCCCCCGGGAGACACGGGTCGTCCCGGCCTCGAGGCGTCCGGAGGAGCCCCCCTCGGTCTCCCCACCCCGGGCCCTGGGACGCCTGCCCGCAGCCTCCGCGCCGCTCAGCTTCCACGGCGCCCAGCCAGCCCGGCCCGGCCCGCGCCACGCTCACCGCCCATCGTCCCGGCCGCGGCTCCGGAGCTCCGCGCCGACCCAGCGCCGGCCGCCTGCTCGCCGGGCTCCAAGCTGAGGCTGGGACCGCGCGCACCGACCGCCGGACAGCGCGGCGGCCCACAGCGCCCCCTGCCGGCCGCGCCGCGCCCCGCGCCGGCGCCCCCGAGCTCCGCCCCGAAGGCGGAGAGGCGGCCCCGCTGCCCCTCGGGCGAGGAGGGTGCAGAAGTGCGTGTGGAGAGGACTCTGGCTCTTGGGAGCCAAACGGAGCCCTCAAGGACCGTCTGGTCTGCAGACCCCGCCCCTCCGGGGGGCGAAAGCTACGGTCACAGGCGTCTGAGTGCACGGGGACCGCGGGTTATTGCGTGTGCGGATTCGGGATCTGGGGCTGTGCGGACGGACGGACGGGATGCACCGGGGCCCAGGCCCGGGCCTGGATGCGGCCTTCGTGTGGGTGCCTCTGGGCCGTGCGCCCGGCCTGGCGCCGCCCTGGTCCCGGGGCCGGGCTTGGCGCGCATGTTTGTGGTCACCGCTACGGCTGGGGGACTGCTGCCGCCGCGTGCACTCCAACTGCTACAGGTCTCGTCCCCGTGTCCCAGTTCCCCCTTTCACCTTCTCCACGCTTCTCTTCCGGCGCCAACCACATCCGGCCCGGGAGTCCACGGGAGACCTCCCTGCGGCTCTGTCTCCCAACAGTCTGCTGGTGCTGGGGGAGGTCTCGGCTGAGCCTCTGGTATCCCCTCCTCCTCCCCCTCCCTGCTCCGTGCCCCCCCCCCCAGTCCCCCCTCCCCCCCAAAGCTCCTGAAGATCCACAGAGCATCTGGCCTATGTCTGTGACTAACTTGGGCATCCGGGAGAGGAACTGGATTTGATACCCTATGTGTTGGGTCGTTTCTCCCAAGGGTAGGTCTTCGGTGTCAGGTGGGAAACCTGCAGTGACCCTGTGTGCCTAGCACAGCTGGCCTTGAGCAAACTAGATAGATTCTCATCAGTCTCATCACGTTTTCCCTCCCAGGCGCACTTTCTGGAGGAGCTAGTCATGGGCCTCCCAATTCCACTCCTGCATTGATGGCTCCCAAAGCTACACACTACCCCCTGCCTAGGTTACCCATATTCCTACATACCTTGGTTTTCTGCTAAGAACGTCCCATCTCAAGTCAGCAAATTCTATCTCTTCCCCAACGCCCCACTCCATCTACCCTGTGGGGTCGCCATTGCCCCTGCCACCTGGACTATCTTCCTCACCTCAGGGTGGCTCCATGTCCGGTCAGTGTTTGCTTCCAAACTCCGCTCACCTGCCAGTCTCACATTCCTATCCTCAGCTCCTTCCTGCCCCGGCTACGGACACCCCCTCCCAGGGAGCCTGTATCTCCCAGCACAGAATCTTTCCCTGTCCCTTCAGCAGCACCCCAGACTTTTCCACCTGGCTCTCCTCCGTCCACCCACCACACCCAACACTTCTCCTTCCATACAGGCTTCTCCCCAGGGTCCTCCCCCTAATCCCAGGCTCTCCCCCTGGTTGGCACTGTCCCCCTCTCCCCTATAGACGTCAGCCAGGGCACCTTCTGCTGTAGATGACAGACAAGCCAACTCACACGTGCTCCTGTAAATGAGAGGCCCCGGATTTGGCTCCAGGGACTAAGGATACCAGGGACTCCCCATCCCTCAGCTTTGCTTCCTCCCTTCCCTGTGAGCGACCCTCTCGGACATCACGTGAGAGCCTGGCAGATCCAAGCTCATCACCTCACAGCATCAAGTCCAGCTTCTCTTTGCCAACCATCCCACAGGCCTTGGGCCTGGTTCTGATCGGCACCTATGGAGTCACCTGTCCATCCTGCTCCCCAGCCACTGTGACCCCATGGTGAGTGGTTCTCCCCCCTCTCTCAGCTACCTCCTCATCCTTCACTGGGAACACGTGGCTGCTCCTGGATCCCTCTCTGTCACGGGGACTAAAGGGCTCAGGGACGCCATGTGGAACCGTTCTCCCACAAAACCTGCCACACGGCCACTTGGCTGCAGCCCTGCTGGGCTGGCGCAGGGCATCCTGGGGCAGAGTTCCAAATGGGAGGCGGGGCACAGGCTCTCTCTGCTGTCATCGTCCTCCTCAATGACCTGGGACATCTGTCTTTGTACCATATGCCTCCCTGGGTGGGGAGACCTAGCACAGAGGTGGCCGGGGCCCCTCAGGGAACCTGGCAGACTCTCCCTAGACGCTCTCTCTCCAGTCTCTTTCCTCCTCATCACTCCTATTCCCTGAGAGCTTCTATGCCCTCCCATTCTAGAGGAAGTGTCCACACCCTCCTCTCTGTGGACTTTGGGTTCTGAGTGGTACCCACCCTGCCCTGCCCCTTAGGGCAATGACACCTCGTGGCTGAGCCACAAAGGAGGAAGGAGCTGTAAGAAAAGGTTCCTACAGGAAAGTGTATATATATATCCCAAGACCATCACCTCTGTCAGACCTCTTTCCTTTGTGGTTGTTGAGGAGGTAGGTAGCCAGTGAGCATCTGGCTAGCACCTGGGGAGGCTGTGTCAGAGATTGTCGCTGACCCAAAAGAATGCAGCGTCAAGAGACAGGCAGCTTCCTGTCGTGCCCAAAATGAGGACCTGGGTTTTTCAATTTTCATGTCCCATACCCCCCCACCCCACCCCCATTTCCCCCCATGTGATTTAGAATTGGTTTTTCTGTCACTTGCAAGGAAGAAAGCAAGGAGTAGGTCAAGCCCATAGCTCAGTGCCTGGCACATTGGTTCCTGCAAAAACAGTAATTATCATCATCATCATTCATCTGATAAAGGAGCAAACATGCCCACGGATGACGGTAAGGCAGTAGCAGGGAAAAAGCGCGGTGTCTGTGGCTTATCGCCGCGGTCTCTCCTTCCGTCCCCAGCCTGCGGTTTTTGTCCTTTCCACATGCCCACGTTGGCCCCAGGGAACATCTCAAAATTCCTCGGAATCTGAACCCACCCATCTTGTAAAAATAGTCCCAGGCTCACCCAGGTCGTGCCTGTGCCTTTTTCACGAGCAAACCTGCCTCGGCAGAGAGCAGCGAGGAGCAGGTGCCCATCTTCAATTCCGTCTCAATCCATTGAGCAAAAATTGAGCAAATATTTGCACAGCCTCCTTTGATTTGCGCTGTGGAGTTAGAGGAACAATGGGCCTCTGTCCTCACCATGGAAGGGATTTTCCTATTAAAGGGGAAGACGAGTCGTCTAGGACGCAGATGGAGGTAACCATACCAGGGTGTCCATTGCGGGAGGGAGGGAGAGGGGTGCTTTACGTGGACCAGGCTCTCAGCACCAAAGTCTGTGCTGAATACAGTCCTGCCTTACAACAGAAGCACACATCTGCACAAACCATTTTTATCTGTGACTCCTACAGGTTCTAGGTGACAAATATTGTTAAATCCCATTTACAATGGGTTTTGTTTCTCTGATTATAAAAGGGGTGCCCATTTCTTATTAAAAAAAAAAAAAACCTGGAAAAATACAAAGTTCACAAAAATAAAGGTGAAAATAAAAACTATCCCAAATAAATTTGTGTTGATTAATATAGTAGAGACTAACAAACCAAGATATTCTTCCACACCGCTGCTAAACACATGGTCTTTGGGGGGGGGGGGGGGGGGGAGTTGGGGCCGGGGAGAGATAGATACCTTGTAAAAGGCTAAAGGTCATTCCTCAGGTTCTTGCAGAAATGCCGGATTCTCCCTGGCACATGTATATGATTAAAGACTGCAATCTGAGCCTCCCAGCTCCAGGGTGGTCTGCTCTCTATTATTTATGTATGCATGATTCATTTTCCCAGCTACCAGCTGCAATCCCTTCTCCCCACCCCCAGCAGGCTTATTATACTAGCCCCTTCTCCTCCTGAGAGCAACGAGGGAGGGCAAACTCATTTTACCATTTTTTTTTTCTGGGTGAAACTTAATTAGAAAGGCAAATACAGAAAAACAGAACACAAAATGACCATGCTAAATAGAAATAAACGATGGCTCTCAAAACTGACCTTGAGCAAAAAAATAAATAAATAAATAAATAAAATAAATTAAAAATTATAAAGAACTGGAGCAATTTGCTGAGTCATAGGTCTAAATATTCATTTTGTCCTCTAAACTCTGAGCTCAAGCAAAAGAAAATGTTTCTAAGGAAAAAAGAAGCAAGCACTTGGTGAACTCACAAAAATCTCATTGAGAAATCATAAAAGGACAACAAGGATATGGGCGATTTCATCAACAACAGTACCTGGCACATATAATACTATATAAATATCGGCTGAACAGATGAATGAACCAAGAGTCCATCCCTCTCGTTTTATAATTAGGAACCAATCAGAAAGGAGACAAGAGGAGAGTGGGCATCTGCAGTCTCATGGGAGACAAAAACTGGTGTTCCCTGTTCATGAGTGAGCTGGGGACCAGATAAACCCCCAGACTTCCAGATGGGACCCAAAACAGAAAAGATGGAAGCTTGAAAACAACCCTAAAATGCTGAAAGTCATTGCTGATGCAGAATTCTAGAGAAAACAAGAAACAGTGGGTAATCTACTTGTTCAAAATCAATCACAGTGACATAATGCAAGAGCCAGGACTAGGATCTAGGCCTCATGAACATGTTAGTAGTCTAGAGAATTCCTGTTGCAACATACCAACACTTGGGTATGTCAGTATTTTAAATTTCAGTCATTCTGATGGGTATGATTTCTGACTTGGGAAGGGAGTGCATGTCATTGTCAGGCACTGGGATAAGGGAGACAAGTGACCTCTAAGGAGAAAAGGCATAACAAGAGGACAGATTGAAGCCCGGCCAGCATGGCTTAGTGGTTGAGCGTTGACCTATGAACCAGGAGGTCATGGTCCGATTTCTGGTCAGGGCACATGCCCTGGTTGTGGGCTGGATCCCCAGTAGAGACTGCCAATCAATGATGTCTCTAATCGATGTTCCTATCTATCACTCTCTTTTCCTCTCTCTCTCTCTCTTAAAAAAAAATCAATAAAAACATTTTTTTAAAA